AAAACTAAAAGAACTGCCTACCAACTTTTTATTAACATATTTTAGTATGGGCGGCTATACGTGCCTCCCGGCGCCAATTTATCATGGTGTAGCCAAAACATCGCTATATTCTGCACCAGTCTATGACAGAAGTATTTTTAAAAAGTACGTAAGTTTTTATAAAACCGTTATGAAAAGTAAGAAATTAGAATTCCAAGTTGTGTACAGGTCGATACCCGACCATATGGTTGTATTTTTATTAGAAATTAGAGATAAATAATGTCAGATAGTTAGAACTAATAGAGAAGAACCTGATTTCCCCTCGTTATTAACATCAAGGAAATATAAATTTCTCGATTTAGTATATCTGTGGACTGTGGTATCACAAATAATTTCAGCATTAACATGTATTATACTTATACCTCGTCGTCATGTTTGGAATTCTATTCTCAGCCACTTGTAGATTCGAAGTTCTCAGATCATTTCGAAGACAAATAAAACAATTTTCTCCGTACAAGTCGCGACAAAAAATAAATAATACGATCGATAATAAATATTGATAAAACGGGCAAATAATGCCACTCATCCCAGGCAGCTGCGCGCAGTTTCTCAACGCTTTTCTTCAGATAAGATAATGAGCGGAGAAGGAATTTTACTGGCGCATCATCAAAGTATCATTAAAATTGTATAGTGACCGTTAAAAAAACACAAAACATTTTTGGTCTACCTGGTATCTTCTATATTCTCTCTATCTTCATTTTTCATAATTTAAAGATATCACAATAATAGCTAACCAATTTATTTATTTTTTTGTAGATTTTATACCGGGTGCGTCTAAAAAGTGGCTCACCCCTATAATCTTTTTATTTTTTCAAATAAAAAATCGAGATTTGGTATATTAGTATATGACATAAATTAGGATTGATTGACGTATTCAATTGTTTTCGGTCACTTCCTGTTTTACCGGAAATGTTTACAACTTTTTTAAATGGCACCCTCGGTATTTTGTTACTTTATTCCATAGAAAATGACACTCTGAATAGATTGACAAATCATATGTCAACTTTTGATGTTTTCGAATATGGTTTATTTGAAATTGTAACCTGCTATTCATAACGACATTTTGACTCGAAATACTAAGTGTGTGGTACCAAATTATTCTTAAAAATATGCTAATGAGCCACCCTCGTTCCATTTGAAAAAATTGAGTTAAGCTCCTTGATTAAAAATTGGCCAGGGCATTGAAATTTAAAATATAATTTTAATAATAAAAGCGTTACCAATTAAACTTTTAGTTACGTAATCGAGAGCGCGTTTTTTAAATTTATTGTTGCCAACCATGGACATATTCGGCGCCGGGCTGACTAACTGGAATTTAAATTTTTCGCTGGGGATTCAGGTGGTAACTCTGCTATAAAAAAATGCCAAGTTGCCATATTTATTTCTTCATTTCCTGACATTGTCATCATTCGTTTTGACACTTAAGTTTTGTATTACGAATTTTTGGTTTAAATGATTTGTGTTGTGGTACTTTAAGCTTAAAAATGTTTACTAGCAGATCTTGCAGTCGAACGTTGTTCTTTTTAGAACCTCTTCCAGTACGCATAAATACATATGTAAAAAGGATTTTGTTATTAGGCATCATACTAAATTAATTCGACATAAAACTTTTTTCAATAACTCAACAATAAAAATGTTTCTTTACTTGTGAACTATTTTTTGTACATCCTGCATAAAGGTTGGAAAATCAAAACAAAGATGATTTTCCAATAATTTGTAATACATGGTTGTGTATATTTTATGGCATGATATTGGCTATAATAAAAAATACAACAAACTATTTATGAGTTACTATAAAAAAATCGTTTGGTCAATGATAAACGTAAGAGACCCAAAACTAGATTTAAATAAAACATTATCGTAACTCGTTCTTGCGATCTGTTTAAAATAACAATCAAGGCTTAGCTATGCGATTATTGTTCTTTTCTTTCAACCAGCGTCACTAAAGAATTATTACCTCTATAGAAAACCGACTGAATATCAATTATTGTTTTCCCGATTTGAAATTGTATTTTTACTCATACAACTCCTGTTGCTACCGCAATACAAAACAATTTACAAAACTACCATTTATATGAACTTAGTTCTTATAATCTAAAACCTTGTGAAAAGTGTGTTCCTGAAAAAGATATGTTTAATTTAACTCAGTCGTTAGATTTAGATATGTTCTGAAGGTGATCTCACGCCTTTGATATTTGTGATGTCTGTTTTGTATTTGCGAAAGTACCATCGTACTAATCGACAGAGACAGATAAAAACCGTCTTGATCTACATTACAAATGGCTTTTTGTGTGTGCGTATTTTTTTTACTCCACACTAATCCGATAGTTTCCTCGATAGCTTTGGTCTAATGTATCGTTTTTACGATTCAAATGTATTCATAGAACATGTAATAAAACATGTTAACGAAATTATCGATATCTGTATGACATTATTTAAATGCGATAATTTTTAGTTTCTTTGGGTATAATGACTGATATTTTGCTTGAAAAACTAAATATGGATGTGTATAAACTTTTATTAAGATTGCTCTATTAGTAACTGAATTACGACATACAAATTATGAAATTATAATACAATGTATGTGAGTCTTAAATAAGTGCAACTTTTTTCATTGCTGGTAGATATTGATAAAAGAAACATATCTTTTCTTTACCGTTTTTCAAATAGGTCCAAAATTTATTTCACTTTGAAAATTAACAAAAAAGTTATTTTTTGGATTAATTTTTGAGACCCACTTTTCTCGATTTTCTGTCTTGTAAATTTAATCTACTACCTATGTTGCCATATTATCAAGAAATTATGTTTTTTAACTAAAAACTAAAAAAACTTCTAACTTTTTTGGCGAATAAAAATCATACTCGTGTTTCTGGTGTCGAAATATACAACTTATTCTACCCCTAAAAATATTTGCACTTATTCAAGACTCACCATGTATAATAAGAATCAAACTATTTGCTGGTTGGTTGAGATGGGACTCAAATTTCCAGTTTTGAGTAGGTATTGTATCGGTTTTCTATAAAACAAACTTTCTGTAATATTTCGGATGTTATTGTTATTGTCAAACATGGTCATTTGAATCTGTCAAAATCAACACCTTTGGTCAATTGACGCGTTGCCTGGCATAATGGGAACTCATTCATCGCCATCCTGCATTTTTAATGAAAAAATGTACCTGACAGCGACAGTTGTATCTGTCATTTTAATTCACAGGTAAATTTTTGGTTCTGGCCGAAAAATAAGGTTTTAGAAACATTTGCTCACGAAGTTATTAAACAGGGCGTTTTAGGATAAAAAAACCAACCCTTCGATTAACCTTGTATAATAAGCCAAATACTAAATATATTTATAAAAATTGAGTTTACTAGTTAAAAGTTGATATATTTGTACACAGTTTGCTAAAACACTTTCAGTCTGACGAAATATTTTTCCGTTGCGTTTTTTGCATTTAAGTGTAGATAAAAATAACGACAAGTTCTGATAATGAATGGAAGATGGAATACCTACGCCATATTTGTCAATTTGTTCCTAAGATATTTCAGAGTAGGTTAATTAAAGAAAAATTAATAAAATGCCTCTTAAGTCAATGAAAAACATTTTGAAAGCCTTCAAAAAACAGAAAAAGTGGTAGACAATTTCATAACTTAATTAATTCATGGATATTGACTTATGTTGTCCTGCTTCAGTGACCAATAGAAAAAACGTATCTATTTTTTTTTCTATTTTAAATTCAGATTAATTCCTAGTAATACCTACGTACTTGTAATTTAATTTTTGTTATATTTTATTATTTTCTTGGTTTGTATTTCTTTAGAATCCTATTTAATTTCTAAATAAATTATTAATAGAATTTTTTATATATTTTTAAGCTTATTTTTGATTACTTTGATTAAGAGCATCTTTCCAGATAAGATAATACAAAGTATTTTTTTCATTATAAAAATGAATCATTGGATAGAAAAGAATTTAATATCAAATTGAAAAACAAAACTACACAATTAGAGTAAAAATTCCAAATTTAGTATATTTTTTGTTTGAAATATTCAAACAATATTATGTGGAATTAAGAGATTACATGACATATTTAGTTTTCTCAGTATACCGGGCCTTTTAAAAAGTATCAACCCTTTAACATGTTTTAAAAAAAATTAAAATTCAAAAAAATATATATAGAAACTATCATTTTATAGCAATGATGATAGTTTTTTCCATTATTGGTAAATGTCTGTGATGTTCAAATCAAACCAAAACCAACCTATATATACCGGGTGCGTCTCAAAAGTGGCTCAACCCTATAACTTTGTAATTTTTCTGGTAAAAAAAACGAAAAATTTGGTATGTTAGTATATTATGGCAATAATTAGAATTAATTGACGGTATTTAATTATTTTTGGTCACTTCCTGTTTCGCCGGAAATGACTACAACTTTTGATTTTTAAATGACACCCGCGGTATTTTTTTACTTCGTTCGATAGAAAATGACACCCACATAAGAATAACATATTATATGTCATTCTATTCAAACGAAACATTAGACGATCAAATCTATTTTTCCAAGACACCTTGATTAAAAATTAGTGTTTTAATACAGCCGTGGCACTCTAGATTGAAAAGAAAATGTCAAAAGTTGACATATGATACGTCATTCTGTTCAGAGTCTCATTTTCTATCGAAAAAAGTAAAAAAATCTAAAGTTGTAGTCATTTCCGGTGAAACAGGAAATCACAGAAAACAATCAAATACGTCAATCAATCCTAATTTATGTCATATACTAACATACCAAATCTCCTTTTTTTATCTGAAAAAATAAAAAAGTTATAGGGGTGAGCCGCTTTTGAGACGCACCCGGTATATTGCTCGGAATGTCATACAGTAAATCGGTTTTCGTTAAGCGAGGAAACTATATCTAACATTCTTGTTTTTTTCTCTAACTTTGTGCCTTGTCATGCTTCGCTAAAAAGGATACGCAAAGCGCTGGAAAATAGGACCAACATGGAAGACGACCGCGTATCAATCCTGGAACAGCAGCTAGCCCAGGCCAAACAAATTGCCGAAGAGGCCGACAAAAAATACGAAGAGGTAGAGCAGTTAGTTCCTTTAGACTAGATCGTGCTTTTATTAACATAGATGAAACACTTTTGTATTAAAAAAGTCACGATTATTAATTTATTGTCTTAGGAAAAAAATTAGTTAGGAAAAAAAATTACTTAAAAAAAATAATTAGGAAAAAAAAACAACATTTGCTTCATCTAAGTTAAGGAGCACGATCTATCATTTTCATTAAATCTGAGAATTAGAAGACAATTTGGCAATGTCGCCAATCGCGACTTTAAAATCTTGCAGCCAAATAGTATTTTTTTTTAAATTTCGCTGTTCGAGTAACCCATTCTTTGTAAAGACATAAAAACAGGTCGCTAACATCACAAATTTCTTTTTTATGTGATCGTCTTACAAATTACGGGTTATCTTGAACCGTATGATCGAAAAAAAAACGACGTCAGGCTTGGAAATGTAAAATTATATGGGGAATATAATCGATCGTCATTTCCAAGCCAACTGGACGCCGTTTTTTGACGCTGATCATCCGGTATAATTCTTGTAAATTTCAGCCTGGGGAGTTTCCAGAACCAGAAGCAGATCATATTTTTTACTGCTGCTGTATTGCTTACCAAGGGTTGTTTGTTTGTTTTTATTTTTATTATCTGTAGAAATATCGCAAAACATATTAGATAAGATAAATCCGTTATTAGTTCAGTCAATATCGCGTTATCTGATAAAACAATATTTATATATTTGTTGGCCACATTCTTGAACTTGTCCGACTTCAATATGCGTAACTGGTATTTTTTCCGATCTTTCTTGACACCTACTCTCATGGCTGTTCACTGTTATAACGTTTCGCTAGTCAAACACATAGATCAGTAATTGTCTAGAATGTTAATTACAGTAAATCAATGGGTTCTATGCAACCTGTTGTCTAGGTATGTGTAGCGTTAATAGCTGTAATGAAAATAAATACCTTACTTTTTATAGATATATTGCAATAAATAATGTTGTTGTTCAAAATACACCGTGAAATTGCTTGATCCTAATGGGTTGTACCTTTGAAATCTCAATATGGTCTTAAATATACAGGGTGGTCCGAATTGTATTCGGAAACTTCGGCATCATATTCAAAGGGTGTGCATTAGGAATTTGATTTCAATATCAGTATGGCTCGTACTTGTAGGGGGTGCTACATACATATTTTTAACTGGTTTGTAGAGTAATAACTTTTTGTCCGTACCTGTATAAAATTACTGAGTGAAAAATTATATACTTCCCCGTTTTTTTTACGTAAATAATGGCTCTCTAAAAAGGCCGTAAAAAAGTAAAACCTTAAAAAAGTTGACTTGAAAATTACTTTTTTAGAAAATTTTACATCAATAACAAAATCATTATTGTATAGTTTTAAATTCTATTCAACACTAAGAACTTTAATGTGAATGTTTTAAAAATAATCTTTGTTGTTTGTTTCTTAAGAGGCAATATTTTTTTCTTCGTTCTTTCAACGTGAATGTATCCACAAGAATTGAATGTACAGTAACGAGAATGATGATTCACACTGAACAATACTTACAACAAACCTGTGTTTAGTTCAGAATGACGAATTTTGTCGAGATTGGCACGCCTGCTTTTTAGATAAATGTGTGTACGTTTCTTTTTCGTGTTTCTTATAGAGAAACTTGTAATTTCCATATTAGATTATAGGACTGGTACTATGAAGAGAGATATATTAGTGCAAAGGTATTTCAACATATTTTACGACGCTTATTTGATTTATCGTTTGGCTTGAGATAAAAATCATTATTCTAATATAATTTATAATTGTTCTTTTTATCAAAACATTAAATGCCTTTGGGATATTTAAAACATTTCTGCATTCTTTTGCACACTTTCTTACATGTAATATCAAATATTAAAATTGATCACCAAAGTGGGAGTAATAATTTACATATTTATATGATTCTTATATAACACATATATAACATTAGTTGATGACTGTGTTAATTTGTCTAGTTAGCATAATACTGATAATTTAGAAAGTCCGAAGTTTACTTACTACTCTCCAAATACCTACACAAGAATTCGTGATTATAATACCACATAATATACTGGGTGTCCCAGAAATAAGTGCAAGTATTTTAAGGGATGGTAGAAAAAGAAACATATTTTCTCTTTACCATTTCTAAAATAAATTGATAATAACCGAGTTATTTAACTTTGAAAATTAAAAAAAATAATGGCAATATTTTGAGAGCCGCCCGCAGCAATCGATAATCAGCCGCAAATACCAAGCAATTACCAGAATCTCAGTTTGTTCGACTCGACGCCCAGTGTTGACCCATCGGCTAGAATGACTTAAAAACGGCTTGGAAATTCAGATTAAAAGTAAAAAACTTACCGAACATTAGAAAACGGGACTCCGATAGATATCAGATCGATGTAACATAATTACGTTAGAGCGTCGTTTTATCACTTTACCGAAAACCGCAACTCTACATTTAACAACACTTCATTTCATTGCACATTGGACACAAAACACATTCATATGCCTCCTGAATTATTTAGGATTATTTTTGTGAATTTAAACTCATCTGATTTTCTATCTCACACTCTTGTTTTTGTGAATAAACACCAAAATAATTGATATTTCTATTTGAATAATAAAAGTATTGTACAGGCTTGCCTTACGTAAGCCTTTTTTTTGTCAGAGGTTTACTGTTTTGAGTAAAATGTCAATTGAATTGGTTAACCTAAAAATGCCATCAGCTGATCTGTTTAAATGTAGGTCAAACGGTGACTATTTACATATCTAATAGAGGGCGCTGGTTCTGAACTGTAGTTTAATAAACTGTAAAAAAAGTGTTTAAAATAAAGTAGACATTGCACTATACTTAATAGTAATCTACAATGTTTAGAAAATCTACAGTGAATAAAATTATATTTTTTTGTACCTAGAAATTTAAAAATGCGAACTTGTAACTGTAAACATACAGAATGTGAATAATGTAGGAGGTGGTAACATTGTTTTCTTTCAAAGCACTATAACCTATAAACAAATTTCCGGGAACTGAACAAGCGGCTCTCAAAAGTTTTTCAATATTTTCCGGAAAATGTCAATAAAAGAATAAAAAAAATTGGCAAAAAATAGTATTTTTTTATACAAGACGATAAAAGGTATTTTATCGTCGACCGAAAAGAGTAATTCACTAATTTCGGGAGACGATAATGCAATTTTATCGTCGTGTATAAAAGAATATTTTTTTCCATAACGAGTTACGTTTTAAAAAATATTCAGAAATTATTATTTCAAGGAATTTATTACGAGTAGAGAAAATATTGTGCTGGGTTGGCGTTGGTTTCTATGTAATTTGACAAATAAATAAAGCTGTCTCTTTAGTTGTCAGTTTTGAGTCAATATTTTTTAATTCTCTTTCGTGTCGATTGCTGATTGAATTGGAGCCACAAATGGATCAAAACGAAATATGTAAATTACCAACAGATATTCAGGCTGAGGCGACAAACGCCATATCCAAACTAGTTCATGAAAAGGAATACAAAAATTTTCAAAAATGGAAGCAATTAAAAAATATGCGAGAAGAAATAAAGTTTTTAACCTATCCTCGCTGTTAAAGTATCATTTAATCTACCCTTGCGGTTAAAGTACTATTTTATCTACTATTTTTGATAGATATAAAGCAATTTTAACAGTTGCTATGGAAAAAAATTGTGATTCCCTAGCCGTCTTTGACGCCGTTTTTTTTTCTATCATATGGTATATATATCCTTCAATATTGGGACAAGGAATTTATGCTGTACGCGTAATATATATTTTTTAAAATTCATCTTTCTGAAGATACAACGTGTATTCAGAATATTTAATTCTTTTTATTATTTTATATATTAAAATAAATTTTTGTCTGGTATAATTTAAAGACCAAACATGATTTATTGCAATATAATCAACAACTTAACGTAACCGAAATTTCCAGATTTAAATATAATCTTATCTAAAAAAATACCAATTAATCCAAGCGATGTAAATACAATTTAACATATTACAGATAAAAAAAGACGAAATAAATAAACAACCCTAATATTATATGTTGGCAACTAATATCCCCTTTTACAGCGAATGTTTTATATTTTCTTAGGTGTGCAGTTTTGTTTGTCCACTTATATTTTCCTATAATTTTAGTTTATCCGCATTTATTAAATTTATTTTTCGAAACAACTCAGGCAACGCAAGGCTCTCGAACACCGCTCCCTGGCCGATGAAGAGCGCATGGACGCCCTAGAGAACCAGCTGAAGGAGGCCCGCTTTTTGGCAGAAGAAGCCGACAAAAAATACGATGAGGTTAATAATTGTGACCTGCTGCCACCTTAACAGTGTTGTTTTTACCATTAATAAATGTTTATGTCGTTATTCTCTAACGCAGTGCATAAAAATATATTCGTTCCCGTAGTGCAGTTTTCCCAGACCCGGCGCTACGAGAGGCAGTGGCGCGCGCCGAGTTTTGGAACAACTTTTTTTAAACCGAGTAAAATGTTTTCCATCGATTTTGTTTATATTTCCTACTAACAGAGTAATTTTGGAGCATACTTTTTCTTTTGCGGAGCAGTGGCGTAACATCCAGGCTGATGTGAAGAAAAAGGTGTTTAAGTGAACCGAATTCGTGTTCTTTTAAATGAAATCCTACCCTCGCGGTGTAGTGCAGTTATAGTGGGGGTTAAGGACAGTGCGCAATATTAGTGTTAACTTGGTAGAGATATTAAATTGCATCGAAAATACTCATCGACAAATTTTGATTTTTTTTGGCGGCCTCGAATAAATTCGAAGTTATGTTTTTCTGATTTTCTGCCTAATCAGATTAGTTTTGGGTGATTTATCTATCAATTCTAGATTTAATATTTGTTATTAATGTTATTAAAAACAAAAAAAAGTATATATTCTTTCTTAACACGAGCTTGTATAAAGTTTTATTAATTGTACTAAATGTTCATTGCTGTAAAGTACTATTTATTAATAGTTAATA